CCCATGTATTCCTGAGCCCAGCGGAGTGTTGTCTAGTGGCGTGTTCCGCCCACGAAAAACGGTCTGAAAAACCGCTTAACGTGAACTGGGGAGCTGAAGCCACAAGTGACAACAGCTCCCCAGTCGGAAGTCATACAGCACATACAGTACTGTACAAAGAACACGCCACAGCCCGTATGCTGAATCAGGGCCTCGCCATTATGCGAAGTACTACATGTACGACGCACTGACGGTCTATAATGCCTTCATCGCCGATACACCCATCGACTCGGCCGATCAACCCTCCTACGCGAGGACTAGTTTGGGAGTTACCTCTCACCCTGGGTGGCCACAGACCGCCACCGCCCCTAATAGGCTGCAGTCACGTGGTAGTCGAATATCCAGCAGGTCATCGTATTGGATATTCCACAATAGGGGGCCCAGAACCGATCCCTGGGGAACTCCCGCAAAGACGGATATCCGTTCCGCCTCACCGTCCCTCCAAGTCATAATGTATCGCTTGTGCAGATAGCTGCGGAGTATGCCAAGGAGTCGAGGGGGGATATTCCTCCGCTGCAAAGCAGTAAGAATGTTTACCCACTTAACCGCATTAAATGCGTTCTTAACGTCTAAGGTCACTAGAAAGCAGTGCATTGACTTCTTCTTAGCAGCGTTCCAAAGGTCCATGACTCTGCTGACCGCATCAATNATTAAATGCGTTCTTAACGTCTAAGGTCACTAGAAAGCAGTGCATTGACTTCTTCTTAGCAGCGTTCCAAAGGTCCATGACTCTGCTGACCGCATCAATCGTGCTTTTCCCCTTAGTAAAACCATACTGGTTGACAGAGCAGGTTATCCTGGATACAAGCCTCTCCTTAATGCAATACTCGAAAACTTTCGCGAAGTTTGAGAGTATGCATAAGGGGCGCCAGGCTGGTCGATTGTCTGGCCCCGGTTTTTTCAGGATCAAGACCAGTCTCCCAATTTTCCAAGCTCTGGGGAAATACCCTATAGTAAGGCATCTTGAAAATAGGTGTGCAATATGGCCTTATGTACATCCCGCCCCCCCCCCCAGTGCCCCCATGACCGACAGCGGTAAATTGTCCGGGCCCGAAGCATGCTTCTTCAGCCTCTTTAAGGCTACCCGGACCTCGTCTTCAGTAAACGGAGGATCCTGGTTACCGCCCAGGGCCCCGCTCGATGAGGGTAATCGGGATACGTCAACGATGGTCCCGTGGATTGGTACCGGAGGGATGGTGGTAAACAACTTACCTACTATCGCCCGATGTTCCTCACGGTTCAGGGTAATAGGTGGCGATATCCCTTTAATTTGGTTAACCACCCATGTGTATGGTCTACCCCAGGCATCAGCATCAATTCCTTTGATGAAGTCCTTCCATGCGGTGTTCTTGGAGACCTGAATCGTCCTTTTTAGGTCTCTTTTAAGGGTCATGTAAGCGGCTCTGGCAATTTCGATCCCAGTTGCGTGCCCCTTCCTCCTGGCTCTCTGTAGCCTCCTCCTACTTTTGACGACTGCCAGTCTAGCCGCCCCGACCTCTGCTGTCCACCGCCATTTCGAGCGTCTGAACTCCGAGGGGTATCGAGGGCGCGTAGACTTAGCAGCGAGTTCGCTTACCAACTGGATATATTCGTCGATGTCTATAGCCGTCTCCATAAGGAAAGGAGAGACCAACGCTATAGCCCTGCTGTATAGCGCCAGGAATTTGTCCACATCAACCACACCAGGCCTAGGCGCTTTTTTGTGGAAGATGTTTTCACCGGAAAACACGTGTCTGACATAACGGTGATCCGAGGCTGTTTCCATGTTTAATATAACGCTTGACACCAGCTTACGAAGCATAGGGTAGCCGCAGAACATGATGTCGATCAGAGAGTGGTGACCATTCCTCTCAAAAGTGAACTTCCCTTCACTGACCACCGGGCAAATCCGGACACGGTTTGCCAATTCGAGGGTGGCGGTGCCCCGTGTATCCGACTTGGCCGACCCCCAGGCTGGTGATTTTTCATTGAAGTCGCCTGCCACGATCAGGTTTTCGCGATCCAGGGTGCCTATCAGATCTTCAAGGTGATGCAAGTGCGTCATAAAATTGTCCAGACGCATGTTCGGCGTGTAGTAGCAGCTAACAACTGTTATACCGTTGAGCTGTATTACCACGCATCCGTCTTTGCTGGCCAGACGTTGGATAGACGAAATCCTTTCAGTCGCCCTAGCAGTGACCCATATGGCCGCTCTGCCATCCCCGGCCCCGAACCAATGGTCTAGTATCCGCCATGGTTCAGAAATCAAAACCACGTCGATGTCAAGGTCGATTGCATTTTGTTGGAGCAGGTCGTGCGCTAATCTACAATTATGCAGATTGATTTGTAATAAGTTTAGGCGAGTGTCCTTAGGCGCCTTCTTATTATGTTTCCCTTGCATGTGAACAGCGAACCTGTTAACAATAATAATAAAGGGTCAATGAGTCATGGTCAAAGGAGTTAGCTCTTATCGTCGTAGCCCTTTTCGGGTGCTTGCATTAGCGTCTCGCTTCCGGTGGGTAAGAGTACCCTGGAGGAATCTTCGCTAAATATATCGGAGGCACTTCTGGGGATCAGCGTCACCCTTGCGTCCTTATCCTTGTTTGCCCTTGGAGAGGGGTTAGTCGTCTGTTTATCAGCATCGGCCTCTCTCAGGGCTGTCGATGCGTCTTTACAATCAAGGCTCACTATAGGTGAGCTTGAGTCGGTACTAAATTTACCTCCCTTAGGTTTTTTTTGTTTCGGTGTCCTACCCGAGATCGTCAATTTGTTCGTCTTCGGTTTTCTCGCGGGCTTCGTTGAGTGCCTTGCAGTATGTAGAGCACTTGAGACTCCCGCCCCTGTGGCCCTGCATATTGCAATTAAGGCATTTTTGCGCGTTAGTGCAGGATTTCTCCATGTGTCCAAGGTCACCGCACCTGCGGCAGCACTTAGACCTGTCCGCATTTTTACATGTCGAGCTGCGATGACCATATTCTCGGCACCTGTAACACTGGGTAACCTCTATCCGTTCAACCACACGACAGAGG